CGCGACGCCGTCGCCATGCCGCGGCACCCATGGCGCGAGGCTTCGATTGGGTGACCTTCTGCCCCTATCCAGAGCACACTTGGAATGGTGCCCCTGGCACTCGAAGCACACGCAGACACCTTGAGCGGTGGCCGATGCGGCCCCGCCCGGCGCCTCGCACTTCGGCGCGCTGACGAATGCGACGACCCCCGGAGCCCGGGTGATCTTGCCGGAGCCATCGCGCTCGAGGCGCCTCTCGGAGTGCCAACGGCGCACAGCCTCTTCGGTGCGCCCACGTGTCATCCAGTAGTCCAAGTCTTCCTGTGACAGTGGCAGCGGCCGACGGGCTGGCGGGCCACCCCAGTCGCGCGGCACTGCAACGGGGTCGCGCGAGCGAGCACGCGGGGCGCGAAAGACCAAGTGAACCGACACTAGAGCGGCCACATCCAATGTCAGTCATAACACCAGCTGCCAAAGGTTACCCCAGTGAGCCGCCGCAGTGTGCCACCACGCATTGCATTGGTCACAGGCGTCATCAGCGCGTTCCCCTGCCCATCGATCGCAGTACCCATGTCCATCGGCATAGGCGCGGTCTCACGCGGCCGGTCACCTGGCCCAGGTAGTCCTGCATCACGTAGCTCTTCAACGGCGGGAAACTTCGCCGTCGCAAGCCCCCACCTCGCCCGCGAAGTCGCCGATCGGGAAATCGATGCCGAGATCCGCCAGAGCATGGGCCACGGCGTCGCGCACGAACACGCTGCACATGAGGAACGACGGCGGCTGTGCCCCCGCAGAGAGAGAAGATCGAGCGCAAGGAAATCGACGCACTCAACGTCTTCCGCTCTTTCTCGAAACGTCACACGGGCAGCTGCATCACCCTTCCCTTTTCCCCCTCGCACACCGACGCTGAAAGTGGCCGTCACCGCCGCGCCCGTTGCATCGCATCTTCCCAGAGCGGCCCACGGGGCATAGTTGTCCGCCGCCCCCTTCCCAATATACGGCGTCGGCCCCGACCTTTCCCCGGGGGGATCCCTTCGTAGTCGGCGTCCATCACGGACGCCATTGAACCGGCAAGACCATGGCCACGCAACCGTCGGTCACGGCGCCCACCCTTGCCACGCCCCTTACCCCGTCTGTGAGAGACCTCCCCGACTGCCCGACGGGCCCGTCGGATGGGGCTCCGGATTGACCGCCTCCATCGACGCTCCACATGCTGGTTGCCAGCAAAACAGCCAGCGGTCTCCGCGCCTCCTAGTCCGCCGGGCATGTCTGTCACGCGCGCAGGCCCCACTCCGCCGGAAGACGCCGCGTCGGCATCGTCGGCGCCAGGGTCGAAGGGCGAGTTCCCGTTGGAGGCTGAGCCCCCAAGGGCGGTCTGACTGTCTGGCGCAGCGAAAGAAACATAGTTAGACTGCCCCCAGCCAAGGTGTGATCATGGCGGCGTCTGACCTGCGCCAGCCCCCTGGCCAGCCAATGAAGCCGCGGTTTCTTCTGGGCCGCGTGGGTCGTCAGCCCAGACGTTGATGGGCGCGGCCGCGCCGCCGCCGCCGGCGGCCATGCATGCGCTCGCGTCCGCCCTCCGCCCCCCAGCAATACGTTGCCAATATTGCCGGGCGCGTTCTCGGATAAGCGACTGAGGCTGCGCACGCGGCCCAGCAGCTCATCACATTGCAGCTCTGCTCGTGGCGTTTGGCCATTCAACGGTTGAAATAATTGAGCAGCTCTGCCAGGGCCGAACCGTAGCGCTCTGCAAGGCACAATTATGAATTACTGAAAACTCATGATTGCAACGCCTACGGAATCGGCTGCAAGACGCGCGATCTCGAACCGAGCGACAGGTTCGGGCCTGAAGTCGACAAGCGCCGTTCCTGAAGTGAGCTGGCGCTCGTCCTCTAGGTTCTCGAACTTGGCCCTAAAGAGAAGCGTAATGCATGTGGCAGGGTCCGTGTGGAACCCGTGTAAAGTCACGCCGTAGTTGATCATCTGCGGTGGGATCCACATCGCGAGAGCGCGAGCTTCCCCACCGAACCCACGCTGCAGGCATGGAGCCTGCTGTTGTGGTGTCATGCGGGCGCTGGTGACATTGAGCCACGCATGAACTTCTCGAGTGGACTCGAGAAACAATACGTTTTCCGCGGGGCATGGTGAGGGCCCCTGGTGGTGACATCACCTCCGTCGTTGTGGCTACCACGATGCATGTGACTAATCGCACGGCCAGATGCATGGCCAAATAATACCAAATATCAAAAACTGTAAGCACACTGTTTCCATGTTGGGTCGTAGCTGGTGTTGGGAATTGTCCTTGGCGTATCCGACGCCGTGATTCGACGAATCGGCTGTGGAGGCATGTCCCCATGCTGGTTTGGGGATAACAGTGCAGCGTTTCTGCGCAAGGGGAGTTGGTGTAGTAGCTTGTTCCCAAGCGCATCGTGAGTCGGAGCGTAGTGGCGTAAAGCCGCGGCGTATACGCTGTCGGTGGTTTTCACAGCTAGAAGAATTAGCGTTCCCGCTGTTGGCGTCT